AATACAAATCTTATATGAGCAATAAGTGGAATTACTACAATCCGGTTTATCGTAAAAGGTATGGATCGTTCGTAAATGGAAAAATGTTTGATAAAAGGATATAAAATATATTACAAGAAAAACACAGGTATGAGAGATCAGCATAAATTTTACTGAGTCGTGTTAAATTATTTTTTTATTGGAATTGAATATTGCGTGATATATTTATCAATAGTGATAAATAGTTCAATATCAATAAAATTATTTCCGACTTTTCAACGAAAACTTCAAGTATTTTGAGTATTTCTTATGTGTGAAATACGTTCCGTGATATTTTCGTATAATCGAAATATATGATTCTATAAAATGTGTTCAGTGACGTTTAAAAATCAGCAGGAAAGCAAAAATATTTGTTTCGATAAATAGAAGAGAAATGGATATAGTTTATATATTTTTGACAGCAATAAAACATTTTTAGTGATTTATACATTTTTGACAAATAATAGTTATGCGTTTTTAAAAAAAGTGAACGCTATGTATTGTGAAATAAGACTTAATATAAGAATAATACAAGAAGAAAGATGACGGAAAAAGTAATAAGTAAAATTTTAATTTTATTTAAACTTGTTTTTTATTCAAATGTATAGTTTCTCTTTTTTTGACAAACGCATATTTTATTTTGCATGTTACTTCTAGTTAAAATGCAATAACAATTTATTATATTTTTCGAAAAGTTTTATATTACATCAGAATTGCAGAATCAAATCGTATTTAAACAGTAAAATTATAACTAAATTAAATTAATTTATATTATATTCTATGAAAAGATACGACTTTTCAGTCTGAATTTAACAGTTAGTTAATTAACACGATATTCAATAGCGGATAACAAGAGATACAAGAATATTTTATAATACTTTTATAATATGCAAACTTGTTAACTTGTTTGCATTGATAAATATATACAGCGACATTCGCATCCTTAGTTATCACATGCGACATTGTTATCACACGCAACGTTTTGTAATATCTGCTCGTAAAAATTTAGTTACGTTTTGTGTGGGACACAGTGTAATATATGTATATTAAAATTTAATTAAATTAAAACTTTAGATATAAAATAGATTTGTTAATTTTCTTTTTATTTATATCAAATTTGCAAAATTTGTTATCATAAAACTCAGCTGTCTGCAAAATTATTCAACGAATCGTGTGTATTTTAGAATGTACGTAACTCATATCATGACAATGTACTTATTCTATGTCGGTATATTATATTTTATTTGCAACAAGTTTAAGATAATGAGATACTGTCTGCATTACATTACAAAGAAAATAAAATTATAGCCTCTCTCACAAACGAATTCGTGCAAAAACGTATCTATGACAGCGCTTAAAATCCAAATTTTAGAAATTAAATGGAAATTTTTAAACGCAACGAAGCATAATTTAGACCAAATTGGATTTTGTTAACATTTTTATTTAATTTGACTTTCTGCATTATAATAAGTAAATTATGAAATATGCTCATTATAATACAATAGTATCTTCAACCATTTTTTACGCAGGTGGTGTTTTATTGCAGTTTCTTTTACATCTTTAATCTCTAGTTATCTCTTTATTCTCTTGAGAGTGCTCAAATTTTCATAGATTCTAAAATCGTCGTAAACTCTAAATTATTTAGTCTCTGAAAATTTGAATTCTGGGCGGTAAGAGAGAAGACTCGTTTTTCACAAATACCTACTCTCTTAAACATTTCTTAAATAGTATGCTAATAGTGTGCTATATTATTTAAGAGCGTCGTAAAAGAAATATTTTTATTTTCAAACATCTTTTAGAAATCCAACCACTTTTTTCTGACTTTTTATTTACAATTTCACAAGTTTATCTATATTTGTCTAGTGTTAAACAAATGTTATTTCTAATAACATCTATATTTTCGCGAATTCCCAATTGTGGGACCATAACTCATCTCAGGACAATTTTACATTTATCACGCATCTAATTAAGTTTCTGTTCGTATATAATATACGAACGCGACACGAGTGTTTATATTTAAAAGACACGTGGATGTAAGGGTGGATGTAGGGGACGTCAACGTTATGGGTGAAATTTATCACAGCCGTGATTACAAGATCTTAAGGAGAAGATACGGCACTTGTTTCGGCAGGAATTTTGGTCCGGCAAACAGAAGATTAAATTTGTATAGCACGTCCTAAGAATCTATTATTTGCACCCACGCAAATCTTGATGCAATTTTAATCTTCCTGGGTCGCAACAAAATAGAATTGGGAATAATATAAAGTAGGAGGATGAGATTTCGTACTGTGTACGTTGACCGACCAACCGCTACCATGGGTTGCTTTCCAAAGGAATTCCACAAGGGTGGATCAATAATGGGCAATAGGAGGTGGCTGGGATTTCTCAGCGCCATCCCTTCATATTATGCGGAACTAGCAACTGTTGCATGATCCTCTCCTTCTTTTCACATTGTTGAACTTTAATCTTGCCGATTAGATTTATTTGACCTATTTTTATTTTTAATCGAAAAACTTCAGCACACTTTGCTCTATATAATGATTTTTTTTTTATTTTTAGATATAGAGATATATAATACAGAAAATATTTCGATGTATTACGAAACATACATGTGCACATATTGCGATATATTAAAGCGTAAAATATAAATTAGAACATATAAAAATCCACACTTTATTAAATATAAATAGAAAATAAATTTGCACATTGAAACAGATTGGCATATTTAAAAAGGGCACATATCATTATTATCGAATGCGTGATCAAATTAAGCATATTATAATTATAAAGCAACGTAATTTAAGAAATAATTATTAAATATTTAATTTTAACAAGATTTGTAAGTTAAGTAAAAGAACTAATGTGTTTTATAATTTTTTCTTTGAAAAATCTATTCAGGAATTACAAATTTAACTCCTACTATTTTAACTTAAGACAAGCTAAAAGGCGCAGCTTGCTTATCTTGAATTATCAGCTAGATATTACGTTTCTACCTGTTTAATTACTTTTCACTAAGGTTGATTTATATCTAGATATCATAACGCGGACCTTATACTGCGGCATTTCTTTGATAAATTACAACAGAATAAAATACTTTTGATACTAGTCCAGTAAAAAAAATTAATACTTTTATGATTAATATGACACTCTTGAAACATAATAATAAATTAATAATAATAAACTTTTAATAAACACCTATCTATCTAAATTAATTTGTTGCATAAAATTCTGACCAATGAAATTTCTTTCTTTCCTCAAGTCTGTTTTTCTCTTTTGTAATTTCTGCACATAGCTTCCTAAAGTGCAAATTTATCATAAAGTTAGTTTGCAAGCTCATAAATTTGCCGCATATCGCTGACTATTCATAAATTTTGCTTTACACGCCAGCAACAACAGTGACTCTTCGCCGTCAATGCAAGTACCTGTGTTTTACAATTAATCCCATTGCATACTATGTTTTCTTACAAGTGAATATCAAAAAAGGAAAAAATACATAAATTAGTCTGATGCATTAATTTTACATGGCACATATACATTGAATTTTACAGCGCAAAAATATGGCAAAAGTATCATGTGATAGCTTTTTTTCTAAACATATGATTCTTTGAGAAAATGGGAAGGAAATTTATTTAGCATCTCAATCTACTTATCATAATCAGCAAAATACTTACCTAAAATTGAATAAATCAAAATCGGAAGCATCTTTATTTTGTTTAAAAATCACATTTATTAGATTTCTAAAAATATGTGCATTGTTATATTGTCGTCAAATTAAAAAAAGAACAGTACTTAATTACGTGAAATGGAAAAAAATAATACATTATTTCTCTTTGTAATACATTTTCTTTCTGTGTAAATAAGTAGGATGTCTACATTCTCTAGGATATTTTGCAGTGGCTCATTTTTTTATTTACAATTTCCTTGATCAATTTAAAATTAATTTTCATCAGCAAAAATATTGATTCCAAAATTTATCGTTTTGCCATCAAGCAGAGTTAACTACAATTTCCATATTTTTTTTTTTAAATAACATTTTAAATAGCTGACAAGACGCGATTTCTTATATAAGCTGTACACGTCTTCCTTTAATTGGATATCATTACTGCAGACTATATACCTATGATTTCACTAGTATATGAGATTCAAATGTAAGATCTTATAGCAGCTATGTGTACATAGAACGCGAAGCCGACACCCTTTTGTGCCCTAAGAAAAGCATCGATTCAGGTCGGTGGTGAGTCTTTGCTGCGCAAAGTCATACCCGGGAAATTGGATGAATTCTTGACTTTCCTTATAAAGCAGAATCTTGCTCATTATCGTCACACCCCCACTCGACGGTTCTGTCAGAATTTCAAAGATCGAGGAGAAAAATTTTTCTGAAAGTATTAGATATAAAAAGAATATGAAAGCTCTTTATTACGTCATTCAGACACGTCCTCGTACGTTCACACACGTTTACGCTTTCTCTCCTGGGAGGAGGACGTCGTGAGATCTCACGTTGATATTTTTCATGTAAAGCTCACTTCCGACGATTTATAATTCGCGACAAAACGCGTGACAGAAATCTATTTATCTCTTTCTGCGCCGCGTAGTGTAAAAAAAGAGGAATCAGCACGTACGTGCATCGAAGTACACAGTGTATACAGAATTCTGTCCCTATCAAATAGACTCGGGAATATCAAGGAAAAATTGTAATTAAGATTTTTATTTATTTTACAAAAAATTGAAACCTTTATAAAATATACATCTTTATTTATAGATTTGACGAATTAATATAATATAAACTTACATGATAAATATTATATAGTGGGCTTGAAATATAATAAATTCTTTATTCTTAAGCAACATTTTTCTGTATGTATATCGTGACTGCAATAAATATATTCATAAATATATGTATATTATATAAAATACAGTAATGCAGTTCTAATCAAATTATAAATAAACTTGTACACATATGTTTCGCAAATTAAAGTCGTCAATCATCTTAAAAAAACACCTTTATCTTTTGATTGAGGAAACAAATGTAGACCATATTTATAATTTTTACAAACTAGTCATTGTCTCTAATTCGAAGTTATATCTAATATCAATAGTCAGAATAAAATTTTTACATCAAAAATATATATTAAGATTGCCTTCCACCTCGTAATATGTGTTCTATAGAATAGAATTACAAGTAGCTCAAAAAACTCTAAACAAATCATTGGATAATAATTGTGTGTCAAAGAGATTATCCTTCTCCCTTTTGTTAGTTGCATTGCACAAATTACATATGTATGACGCGATAAACGTGAAAAGAATACGTATGCATTCTTATAAATTTACACAAATCTGCCTATAATCGGCTACAATTTCAATTTCTCCGTGATGTAATCCAAACTGCTTCTTATTATCTCAGAGTTGTAAATGTAATATAATATGCCAAAGTAGAATAAATACACTGTTGTAATATGAACAACGTACAATCTGAAACATATACATTTCACATAAACGATGAATTTTATGATAGAAAGTTTAACAAGTTGCATACAAAATGAAAAAAGATAAAAAATTAAAATACATAAAATTTAAATCAATTTTAGTTTAATTGTATGCTTACTGATTCAAATTTAATTTAATGCAAATTAATTTTAATTTAGCTTTCCAAATTTAATTTTTAATAAGATTTAATTTTTAGTAAATCTACAAATTTTGTAAATAATTTCCTAAAATTTTTAGTAAAGTATATTTGACTGCTACTGCATTGTAATTATACGTAAAAATTCAATGTAAGCCGAAATATTAAATAAAAACGTAAATGTACAACGTTAGAAGAGAATATTTAAACAGAAGAAAAATTTTAACGTTTGTTCCTCTTACTATTTTTTTTCATCGTAACTTTTTTCTTATATTACGCTTATATTAATTATCTTATCTCACAATAGAAAATATTCAGTTTCTCTTGAGAATATACAATTGTCGTTCAAGAATGTAAAAACTTTTCACGAGTGTTAAAATTACACAAAGCATGTTTAACTGTATTCATTTCTTCTCTATTTATTGAAAGGCTCAAATATTGTTTCGGATTTTAAACATTTCTAAACTGCAACTGAATAAATTTTATGAAACCATACTCTTTGCACGGAAATATAAAATATAAACTGCAATTTATGAAAAAAATACTCACATTTTTTGATGCCGACGGGCTCTCGGTAAAGAAGACAAGTCTTCCTTTAAGCAGTATTGTCGCGCGCCGAGAATCCAATTCTTTACATATTCTATTTTGTCGTAATTAGAATCGATATAAGTGGGAAACAATTTTTTATCCTCTGGCGATAATTCATCAAATATAGTTGTTATCTTATTGTTATGAAACATCCATTTTCTCGTGGTAAAATATTGCAGTACTTCGAGTCCAGCTGAAATTCGTTTCTGGAGTTTGACCATACTGTTAGAAAGAACGAAAAGAAAGAAGATAATTAAAATAGATCACATAATATTATGTTATATTAAAAAACATTATGTAATAAGTAATAATTAATGGATAAACATTGTCATAAAGAGTACTCAAAACTTACAATCTTTTTTGTCGAAAAATCAGCATTAAGAAATCGATAAAGTACGCGGGTATGATGTGGAAAAAGAAGACGAATAAATTGTGCACAAATTTGTTGCTACGTATATTGCCGTCAGGATACCAAACCTGTCCATCAAAAGGATATTCATAATAAACACGTCTACCCAATTCAAGTATCTCGCCGAAAGTCGTCTCTGTTATTCTGCCTTGTGTTACATTAAACACGGGTATACTTTTTGATCTATAAATGAATTGACAATTGTAAGCACACAAGAGAGAAATTTAAACATTACAAATCTTTTAAAAATTAATAATATCATTATTTTATATTACATATGATAAGAAATAGTAGTAGAAAAAAAATAGTTTATAAATTATAGACATATTGCATGTTAAATTTGTTTCAAACAAACAATTAATTTGCAACAAAATTTGAGATAGATATCTATTTATAATTTTACGTAACATAAAAACATTTAAAAACTAGAAATACGCACAAAATGAGTAATCCATACATGTATATATTGATTTTTTAATTGTTTTTATACGATAGGGCACATAAAATAAATAGAACGTTATCCCATATTGTGTTGCAATTGTCTAAAGCGAGCTTTGAATAACATACTCTGATTTGAATGTTTTTTCGGCATGTTAAATGATGCGAAAAAAAAAGAATTGCACAAAGCGGAGTTACATACTTCTCCTGCTTGGTACCGACTCTGTATGCAATTACAATTAAATTATTAATCGCAATGTCAACCGGTATAATTTCAGCATGATAACTGCCATTGCAGTGCATTGATCTGACGACACCTTTGCCCGCAGCGACGAACAATCCTACAGGACCATTCAGATTGTCCACCCAACCTGGTAACGGTTCTTCTATAGCTGAAAATACTAAACAAAATTAAATTAATTTTTTTTATTTTAATGTATTATATAGTGTACTGGCTTATTCGAGCATATTGCATGCAGATGTGAACAGAAGCTTCTATATTTTTCCCGAATTTTTCAGTGTATTGTGCAGATCTGATATAATTTGTGTAACTATCGCGCCGAGAGATTTTTTCTTATGATTACTAAAAACTTATAAAATATACCAATAATTACCAATTGATGGCCTCGCAATACAGCAAGGCAGATTAGGATACTCGTTGACCACCAATGTTTCGGCAAGACACTTCGAATACGTGTAGCTATTTGGATGCGGATGCATTAAACTAGAATTAAAACAATAGACAAATACGTTATTGCACAGACATTTTTTATTATTGGATAATTCAATGAATTATTTAATAAACAATTATTTAGTATTTTTGAGTCTTTATAATTTTTTTAATATTTAATTAAATCACTAAAGAAATAATTATTTTATAATTTTATTTTATAATTAGTTTTATAATAAATATACTTATCAATATGTTATTATTAATGATTAATAAGATCGTTAATTTAATTACTTTGGTGTAAGAAGATCGATAGCTTCTTCGTCCAGCCATTGAACGAGTTTTATGACATGGTAGGGATTATGAGGGGAATTATATGTACATTCGGCAAGTTCTTCTTGTTCGACGTGACAAAAAGTCGTGCTTAAGTGCAGGAAACATTCCAGTTGCTTCATTTGCTTTGCCAAGTCCAATACCCTTTTTGTACTTATCTTTACGATTAAATCAGATATCATGCATTTTAGATATTGTGTAAAATATTATGCATAAATTTAAGTTTGGAAAACGGATTCGCGAAATTAAGTAAGTTTTATATTGCATTGGCATTTAAATGTCAACACGTTTTTCATATAAAACTAAATATATAATTGATGAATACAGAATCTAAATGTACAATATAATCAGCGTAATGTGTAATAATAGTAATAAAGTACTTTTTTCACATAAAGAAGACAAATGCAACAAATGAAACTTTGAGTTATTGACGTTGATTTTTTTAAATTGTAGAACTAATATCTTACAGTGTTCAGCTCGATGGCGTCTTTTAATTTCGTATCGAAGCGAATAGATGCAGCGCAATGAAATACCACATGTACTTCGTTTATCAGACGTTCTCGCTGCTCTTCAGTGAGACCCAAATTGTCCGAAGTTATGTCGCCGTTTAACGGTATCACTTTTTGAAGGACATTAGGTTTCTCGATTTTAATTCTTTGAAACAACTACAGAAATAATTATAACCATTATTTGTTATTAATTTACATAATGTGTACTATTATTTGTAAAAGTTTCATACCTGATTTAAAAAATCATAAATTATTTAAGATTAAAATTAAGTAATGGAATTCTCACATATCTTACAGGTAAATCGAATATGTTGCTGAGTCGAGTATCGATGTTGTGACCTTTCTTGCTTCGTATAAGGATGTAAATTTTGTCGATTTCCGAGCAAGAATACAGCAACTTTTCCAAGAGAACCTTGCCCATAAAGCCGGAAGCGCCGGTAACAAAAATGGTCTTGTTTTTGTAATAGGATTGAATTTCGCTCCTTTTCTTGTCCATTATCACTGAAACACAAAAATTTAAACGTAATAACATTACATACAACATAGGATACAACATATAAGCATATATAAAAAATACATGAATTTTTGTGATACCTTATCTTTGTGATACGTTCATTCCGTTAAAATTCATGTATTCTTTATATATTTTATATATGTTGTATGTTATATGTTATGTTATATGTCGTTGTTGAAAAATTAAAGTTTTAATTGTATCGACATATATATATATTATTATAAATGTAAAAAGAATAATAAAAATACAATAAACGAGCAAATAGTTTTACTATTGAAAAATAGAAGATCCTGTAACTAATTTGAATCGTCTGTGTAATAATATAAAAAAATAGATAGCATTTAAAATTTCGAGATTTTTATTTATTTGTTTGTCTTTTAACTTCTTTTCCTTCTAATTATTTAATTTTTTCGTGTTTGTTATCGGTTACAACATATATATGTGTATATGTTGTGGCGCATTGTAACAATTATTTATAAGGGTGTAATGTGAAGGGGGTATCTTTGCAATAACTTTAGTAAACTTTGTCATTTGATTAGAACTTTGCTTTTTAAATACTTGACGACATTAACGTGACATTTTTATTTTTACTTTTTTACGATGATTGCCCAACGCAAGCGGCATCAACGATGCATCATACAGCGCGAAGTATATAGTGCGATATTCACGGATCATTTCTGAAAGATGTGATTTTGAAACATAAAATCATATCTTATAGTCGAATTTAGCGTAAAAAATCCAATAACTTTTGTTATTACACAAAAATGAAATTCGTAAAAATAATAACAAGAAGGTAAATTAAAAAATATAAAATTTTTATAAAAATCCAGCTGCGCGGTTATAAAGCCCGTATAATACCATAAAATTTTTATTTAAAACATTTTTTTATACTTTTTACAGTTTTAACGATATTTTGTCAAAACCAAATAGAATAAACCGCTTTAGCTTGTAGGAATTGTTTCAACCCCTAAACGTGCGAGAACGCAAAAAAATATACGTGTCTCTTATTTTGAGATACTCTACAACATATTCAAAACTCATCAAAATTGGAGGGGGACAACTCTGTCACTTTCTCGTTAGCAAAAGGTTACGCAAAAATCGGCAATAATTTGAATGCAAAATAATGATATAATACAAAAATATACTGGATACCTGTTGGTGTTGCACACGTTCGATTGAATCCTATGGTTTAATTCTGTTATCACTTGCAATTAATGTAATGTTTTGTTTCACTTTTGCTATTTTGTGAGAATAGATCCTGTGTACTCCGTGCTCACGAACTTAATGAGCTTCGTTGTAATCCGTGATGAAATATGTACTGTAGAATGACTTGTCAATGTTTTTTTCTTTTCTTCTGTTTCTCTCAGTTCCTTTTCCCACATAGGTGCAACTACAACAAAAAATTTTATGCGTTTCGTTCTTGCTAGAAATAAAAACTCGCTTCTAATCGCAAAACAAATTGGTTTTTTTTAATTTTCACGTTCCTATAAACAATTCATGAACATTTTATGAACGTCATCGTTTTTAGATGCGCGTAAAACTATCGAAGGACGCTGTATGCCATTACATCTCGACTGTTGATGAATCCGGAATATGCAAAATCTGGTTAAATTTTATCTACTTGTCGATTTTGCAGGATATTTAGAAATAGTATCAAAATACTAAACTTTCTACAACTTTGTTTTCTTTGTAGAAGTTTGATGGATTGAATTTGTATAAATCTTGTTTTTTACGCAAAAAGTAACTAAAAAATAGATGTAATAAAAATGTTAGTGTTCACTTTGTCTTAAACAAATAAATAAGAGGAAAAAAATATTACGTTGTTCTAATTGTTTTATTATTATTATAATTATTATAGATGTAAAATAATATAAAAATTATTTATTTATTTTCACTTATTTTATTTTCTCATATATTCTTTTTGATTTATATAAGAAAAATATTATTTTAAAGAAAAGCGTTTGAGGTAGTGAATAGAAAATAATAAAATAAAGTAGTCATGCATAATGTATTGATGATAATCTATCTTGATATTTATGATATTTATCTTATGTTGTCATTTTCTTGAAAAATACGAGGAGTCCGTAAATAAATGCAATTATTACATTATTACACAATATAAAAAAAGAAGTATATTTAAACTTATGCACTTGCACACGCTTATTAGTATTATTTAATCTTTGATTCTTGCGTCAGTCTACTATTAATAATGTGGAACACCACATTTACTAGAGTAAATAATATCTAATCGACATTCTTAATGACGTCTTTTTCTTCCTTGTAACATAAAGATACTGCGCATTTACAATGTAAATTCTTGCTTTGCAACAAATAGATGAATGTTGAAATGTAAAAACTTTTAAAGAATTGAGTTTTATGTCAAAATAAAGAATTACCTTGTTCGCTCTATTTCAAGGACTTATATCTATGTTCAGCAAGCAGATTGTAGTTATTGTTTTAAAAATATTATATTTGTGTTATGTTGCGTGTAAACTTAACTTTTTTCTCATATTTTCAATAAATAGTTTGACGTAGAAATCTGAAATATAAATCTACTTATTGTTTTATTAATCTTAATAATTTATTTTTAATTTTTAAATAGAATCCACTATTAAATTCATATCAAATATCACCTTTATAATTAAAAAATCATTTTTCTTTTATGTAATAATTCTTTACGTAAAACATATTCTTAATAATATGAAGAAAAATCTTTTACTAGCGCTTTGTGTCACACTGTTGCATTTATCACGGCATTTGTTACAGCTTCATTTATTTTTCCGCGATAATGTAACAAGTTTATATAAAAGTTAGTTTTATTGATAAGTCATTATCGTGCTGCGTTATTCTTACTATCGTAGTTTGCAATTAATCACCAAAAGAGATCTAATGTAAGCTGACAATTTTTAATATGTCTTCTTTTTGTTAGTAATTTACTACACGTGTGGCCTGAGTATGTTTTTTCGTATGGTTTGCATTCTTTTTCTCAAACAAAATTCTATTCCACGTCTATGACCCAAGACAAAACAGGCATATATAAGATGTTTAATAGATTATATAAGCTATATATGAGTCAGATATAAACTAAAATATTTAATTTAAAAAATACACATATTGTTTATAACACCATACATCTAACTGGAAGAAAATGTCATATACTTTTTTCGTTTTTATCCTTATGTATTTATAAATCGCGACAAAACATGTGACAGAATTTTATTTACTTCTTTCTGCGCCGCATAATGTAGAAAAGGTAGAGAAAAGAATCAGGACGAAGTACACAATATACAGAATCCTGGCCCGAATCATATAGATCGTTTAAAATAAAATTTTTTATATACGTTTTACAAAATGATAAATTTTACTGACAATCTCAGCAATACCAAGGAAAAATTGTGAGGCA